TAACAAATTGGACATGAGGGTGTTGTGGTATATTAGTGGTAACCATGTTGATGTATATCACCGTCAAAACTATGGGAGCAAGTGTATGGCACAGGATGAGAATAAAAGATAAATGAATTTCTCAAAAATGATTAGGTAAATCAGGGAAATATCTCAAATTTTCTGCTCAGAGTAAAACTCGTGCAGGGTATTATTCTTTGATCTTGATAAAACTTGTCTGTAAATCCCAAAAGGACAAACACGCGGCAGAAACGAGTCGAAGAATATATTATAGTTTGGTCAAATTAACTGTCATCCAAACATGCCACACGTGCTCTAATCTTGGACATTTTTGAAGTTAGAAATCATACTCGCATCTAGTTCAAGTGAAATTTAACTCTTTTTTTTTAACGGTTAACTAAATTTTATCAAGATAAAGGACAAGGTTTTTTTTTTTTTTATGTTTCCCTACCGTATAAAATTTATATGTTTTTCTCTATCCAACCGTCCATTCTGAATGGATGGCTAAGATGACCCCAATCATAACGTCAAGCCTCTCCAATATTCTATTTTTTATTTTATTTTTTATATAATATTTTGATACCAAATTTTAGTCGATCACTCCCCTCTTAAAGTCACACCTATAAAAAATATATGGAAAAAAAGAAAGCTATCATAAGTGCGAAGCTCTAAACAATCAAATTAAAGTGCACTTCAAAAATTCATACTTCTGAAAGCTTAGGAGTTCCGCCTTAGTGGCTTGGCCAGGTGGTAGGTCTCCATTCAAGGTCCATATAATGTCACCCAAGTGATTCCTGGGTACTCCCAAAACCTGCAATTTGCCTATTATCTTTAACACTCCCATCAAAGTTTAACTTAACCCATGAGCGCAGGGAAGTCTCCAAAAGGCAGACTTCCCAACCCTGTCTCTGAAACCGAAGAAGCGGGTGGAGGTTGCAATCAAAATGTTCTTTTGGGATGTTCTTGAAAGAGTTTTGTGACTGAGCCCAGGGAACAATATCCTTAAAGGATTTCAAATTTAAGCAAGGCCACCTCTTTGAACTTATTATCAAAAATCTTAGGATTTCTTTCTTTCAGATATCCATTGCACCTACCATGATTTTCATGAGTACCAAACCTAACTTAGAGAAAGGCAATAATGAAATTTGTAACAAGAATTGGTGCGTGGTCTCCGGCATTACCCAACCGTGCTGAATCTTTTTGAATAACCCACTCCCACAAAATGGTAGCCAATCTAAAATGTAAGAATTGATGATCATTGTCTCTAGTGAAACTAAGAAGCATCGACAATTTCACAACAGTACTTACTCTACTTCTTTTATTTAGAAGTCCGGATCCATATGCTCTTTTGCCGTATTACTATCAATAAGAATTTTTGGAACTCCCAAATTAAAAAGCTAAAAGATATTCTACTCCCTCAAGGGTATACTGTCTATTTAGTCCTTCAGTTAAATCCCATCTAAGATTAATTTTAGGACTTCAGATTTTGGGGATATCTCTCTAACACATATATTAATCTCAATTGAAAAGAACTCCTAATTGCACCCCCTTGAAGGAAATAATACCTCAAGAAACCGTTCATTTTTTAGAGGGTGAAATCTAAGTATTAGAAAACTCAAATTTCACTTTTTTTTTCTTTTGAAATCATCCAGTGATTCTTGAGTGCTTCCCAAATTTTAAAAGTGAAAAAGTCCTCCCAAATAGGCCTTTTGACTTGGGGAGTAGCAGTAAACTATGCATCTAAGGGAGCATAGTATACACGCTCAATTGAGCTCAAATGAAATGTAAGATGCTACATATTCAATGCTTGACATTTTAGAAATATGGTTCCTTGGTGCAATTTTTCAACAAACTTTCAATTGATATGGAAAATCCTTACGAGGCAGACCATTAACCGTTGGTACAAAATGATCACAATTAATCTTGACCATTGAATGTGAAATTGGACGGTTGCATTTTTTCTATTGATCAAACATAAAATTTTTAAAAAAAAAATCTAATGAGATGGTTATAAGTATACAATCCCGGCATAATATTACCCCAAATGAAATTGAAGAAGGACGAGGGCGTTTGACATCACCCAACATTAACAGGTACCAGGCCATTATTAGCACAATTTACTCTTGTCCCAAACAAATGAAACAAATTGTCTCCAAAATAAAACTTCGCTCGAAGGGTTGCGGCACTTTTCATCCGAGAATTGGTGCGATTTACTCCATAAGAGAGACAGAGAGATTTATGTTGACCCTCTATGTTGCCATTATTTAAAAAAGATCTTCAAAAGATTTTTATTTTACGTACATATTTTTCAAACTTTTTATTTTTTCCAAATTGCCATCAAAACCTTGAAGTTCAGGAATTAATATTTCTTTTATTCATAAACTTACGGACCTGAAAGGTGTTGTTTCAAAGATAAAATTCAGACTTTCAAGATTCAAAAAGGAACGTATATACTGCACTATAACCTATAGCCATAACACGCAAGTTGTCCTCCTTTGAAAGAACCCATTATAATTCGATCAAAATCTCTCACAAATCAACTCCAAACCTTAAAGGTCCTGATTTGATTTATGTGGAAAACTAACTTCAGACCTTAAAATTCCGAAACTTTGAGGTCCAAAGTAGTGATCAATTATGAAGAAAGATAACAATAAAAATAAAAAGATATAAATGTACAATCAAACTTTTTAAAATAATTTATTTAAAACAGTAGTTTATAGGGACATTGGCATAAATTTATCTAAGATATGTTTTTGTACTTTATTTTGAATAATACCAGGTAGCGTTAGTATCAGCAGATCTAGTTTGACATTCTCACTTTTTTATGAACCCTTGCTTTATGTGAATTTTATTGTCCAACCGCACCATAAAATTAAAACACTTTGGATGTTAAAACAACTAGTATAACAAGAAATGGCAGAGAAATTCCAAATAAGATATAAGAATCGAGCTTGGGCTTGGGCTTGAGCCTGAGCCGTTACCAGTCAATGTGAACAAAGTACATCTCAAGTTTGATTCCTCCCGTTGAACTACGAAAAAGAAAAAAGGTGCAGTTTGTATAAGGTAGCAACAACCTTACAATTTTGCAATGCTCTATACTATCCATTGTAGTTGAACAGTATAGTTTTGACACCTCGTTTAAGACGATGTCAAATGATACATCTTCTAAAATAATGTCAAATCTACACTGCCTAGATAAAATGGACAATGTAGATTACTAAAACCTTACTTCGAAAAGTGAAGTTGCAACCTATATAAAACAATCCACAAAGTTAAGCTCTCTAGATGCTGTATAAAACAATCCACAAAGTTAAGCTCTCTAGATGCTGTCTTGTTCTGACCTTTATAATCCAAGTGAAAACCAAAAATATCCAGGAGAGAATGGTGTGGACACATGGCTGCCGGCTTTTTGAATTGGACAGACTAAATTACAAAAAGAGGCCAAAAAAAAATCAGGTACTGCTGAACAAGGCAACAGAATGATGACTTCTTCCACTTAAGTCCAATTTGTGGGTGCAACACATTCCAAGCATAGCCTAAATATGTGGCTTGAAAGCAATCACTTTACATGAATATGTGGCTTGAAAGCAGTCAATTTACACTGCAAGGGCATGGAAGAGTCATGGGAAAAGTTGAAAACTTCAGATGCTTTTGGAGAAAGACAAACACATCCCAAACAATGGTGTTCATATCGCATGCCTATTTTCTTGTTTTGAGCAATAACATCAAAAATAAATAAACAAATAAAATATATAAGTATAGCATGAGGAGTTAAGGTGGGGTGGCAACAAACCCAGACCTGACCCAAGTACCAAGATTTGGAACTGAATACTACTCGGTTCCGGGTCCGGGTAGCGACCCAGACTCAGCCCAAATTTTATTAATTTATTTTAAATATATATATATATATATATATATATATTATTAATTATTTATTTTATTTTATTTTATTTTTTTTATTCTTTTATTTTGGGTCGGGCCCAATCAAGTCTGGGTCCGAGTTCAGGTCCCACAATATATTTTTGGGTTCAGGTCCTACAATATATTTTTGGGTTCAAGTCCCACAATATATTTTTGGGTCCGGGTCCAAGAACTCTAGACCCAGTTGTGTCCGAGCCCAGGTCCCACAATATGTTTTTGGTATGGGTTAGGCCATACCCAGACCGGACCCCACCCATTGCCACCCTTAAAGGTCAAGAATAGAAATTTTCTATCAACCTGCATATGTTAATATAAAGGGTAAGGTTGCAACCTTAAACAATAAAATTAAGGTGCACATCAAAACTGTCATGAGATGCAGTTTTAGTGTCCAATATTCTTAAGATGCCATGAGAATCTACTTTTATTTCAAGTTATAAAATACTAAACTTAAAAAATGGTTCAAATTAAGAAAATCTAAAAATGCATGAAAATCTTGAAAGTGGACGGTCCAAATAATGTGTGGCAAGATGTATTATTTTTAGAACTTGAAATCTCTTTTTTTCCCCCTATTTATACATCTCAAAGTCGAGATGATCAATTAGATGTTTTTCCAACATCAAGACAACCTTTTTTTGAGGGCACCTTAAATCTACATTATAAGGTGTCAACCTTATATAAACTTTTTCCTAATATAAAAAGCGCACTAAAGACAATTAGTACATCATCGATTCATGATGGAAAACTCACAAATAACTGAGCAAACATCCAGCTTTCCAAATATTCAAAATTAAAAAATTAACACAAATGAAGCATTTTCCACAAATTCCCAAATTCCAAATGTCAAAAGAAAATTGTTGTTTTCACCCTTGTTTATGTCATACCCACTCATAAACATGAATGGCATTGGTAATTCTTGATATTCCTAGTCTCATTTTGGATGGGTAGACATGGATGAGAATGAAAGCCCCTAAGTTCTGATCATTCAGCCCATTCGGAAGTGGTTGAAAACCAATGCCATGAAACAAGGAAACAAAGGACAATCATAGCAAAAAGAGAACATGAACAAAACAAAATCAGTATACAAAAAAAGGGAGAGCTTCAAAAAGAGTAACAGGATCAAGTGTCAGCACTGTGAGTCCACTCTAGAGACTTTGTAGGGTCAATTACAGCACTTATTATGAAGGCTCAATTTTCTAGCAGGCCATAGAGACAGGCATTCACACGTCGACAATCTAAGAAAACAGTCAGAAGCCATGCCACATTACAATGAAACTTGGACATGAAAGGACCTACATAAAGTAGATTTCATTTCAAAAAGCAATGATATCTTGCTTGGAGATCATTTGGGGGCATCAATGCTTTTGACACTGTCCAAAAATTCTTGAAGCTCTTCGAAATATTCTGTCAACAATCCTGAAAAGACATGCAGCATGTATGAAAGGTGTGTTGAATGTTTTGAGAGAGAGAGAAAGACAGATTATGAGGAAGTTACCATTGCCATCTGTTTTGGACAGTCTTTTGACAGGACTATTAATTGTCTCTTTTCTAAAGGATGTTATTTCCTTCCTTCTCTTCTCATTCTGTTTCTGGATTCTTGAATGGAGTTCCACAGCACTTCTCATCGACTCTGAATGAAGTAAGACTAATATGAGTGCTTAAAATAGGAGTAACAATTGTTTGAAAGATTATCACGAAAATGAAATATTTTTCCTAGTTATAATAAGTGAACACATATAAAACCAAATCCCATGCATGTGCACTACATCTCTCAAGTGTACAGTTTCCCATCTAAAGAAACACCACATACCATGGAATAAAACATGGTTGGAGTTTTCCTCCCAAGGTTGTAATGCCTCCGAAACAGCCTCTGCACAAGATTTGCTCAATGTAGTCTGTTTCTCCAAAGCATGGAGCTCTTTTTGTAGTTCACCATATTCCTTTCCAGCCTGAGGAAATTACCTTTTAAGAATCCATAAGTGAAAATTTGCACAGTATTCCCTTTAGAGTAACAAAAACTAAGAGCTTCTTACCACATTGAGCTTCTCCCTCAAGAAATCTAACTCGATGTCAAGTTCAGCATCTAAGAGTCCAGCCTCCTTTAATTCGTTATCACTGGACGATCCCTTAAAGAAAGAAAAAAAAATCAATGTAAATGGGAATATTCGGGGAATTTCTCAGAACATAAAGTATATATATTTCGCTACAGAAACAAAAAGAGTAAATTGCCCTTGAGCAAATGACTCTAATGCCCTGGAATCTCACTCTGACCAGAAGGTATCTGTTGTTTACTCAAACAATAATAAGTTTCAAAATAACGCACAGCATCAATAACGACTTTACTTTTGTATCTCTCTTGCTAAGACAGCTTCATCCAGCAGAAAAAGCAGCACATTCCATAGATGTCAAGAACCAAAAAGATTATATAAATATATGTACCTTAGAATTCAGCACCACGTCTGGTTTATAACTAAATGATTCCTGCTTAGTGGAAAAAACCCCAAACAACATTCTCAGTTTACTAATAAAAAATTGCTAGTCAATTGAGATATGCTTCCTTAAAGGATCTCACTGTCCCCTCTCCGGGGACAGAAGGTGTGATGCAGCACAACCACCAACTCAAGTAGCTTTCTTAAATATGTTAGTGAAAGAGAGAGAGAGAGAGATCTTTGTGGGGGGGGGGGGAAGAGAGCTAACCTCAAATCAACTCCAAATTAATATCAAGCAGAGAGAACACACAAGATGTAAGTCTTTCATCTGTAGAGAGAACTTCTACAATTGCTTTGTAGATGGAAAACTTCTACAACTAATTGTTTTTGTTCAAAGGTCACCGCTAATGGACCAAATCCATTAGCACGCATCCTCTAAAATAGATTACTCTTGGTCCATAGGTCCCACTCCTCAAGCTAATGGTATGGAAATCAGGGCATGGAAATCGAGTTGTGAATAGATAGCAAGCCCCGAGCATGGCAATCTGGTAGATTGCCATCAACAAATCTTCTACAAGTAAAAGTACTCTTTAGATTTGAAATGGGTACTATTTTTGCTTTTAGTTGTCCCTACTTCCATTTGAATTTCAGATCCTTGAAGCTGATGAGAATTTTGAATATCTGTTGAACTCCATTAAATTTTTACAAACCGTAAAGGGTTTCCAAAAATCTTGTTTCAATAACATTCAGAATGCAAAGAGTGGATATCACAAAATATTGAAAATAAACAGAAAATAAATCACAAGGCCATCCAAATGTTTATGAGAGTTTCATTTGAGCCTAAACTAATCAGTTCAATGACTTCAATCTTTTGTTTTGAGTTTCACAACCTAGTTTGAGAGTGCATTTGTCATTGTTATAGCAAAGGAGATGTCAAGTGCAGCCCACATAATAACCACAATTGTATCACAGACAGTTTCAGATGCAGTCCGCCCCAATCCAATATTGGCAATGAGTCTTTCATTAATAAGAAAATGGCATAATTCAAACCATTATGAAAGTGGCCTTGACAAATACTACAGTAATGAAATGGATTTTGCAGAACATATAGAACTCTGATTATTCATGCAGATAATGGTTATACATACAATATTTGATGAAATTCCTTTTGGAACAGCAAAACAATGTTGACGGCAATACTTTTCCCAGAAATCCAGTCGCTTATCCAAAACTTCTTGAACTGTATGACATATGACAGATATACCCTGTGAACGCAACAGAAAAAATACAAATGACAACTCGGATATCTACAACTAGGGAGATATCCAAAAATAACGTGGAAAACTCAGAATGCTTTCACATTTTACTGCTCATTTGAATCGCATACAATATCAAACAGAAGAAACAGAAGTAGGTAATTTAACTGTTCTTGTACTAGAATTACTCTTCCACCTTAGAATGAGTATTTCACCAGCAAACCATCTAAGAGCATACAGTGAAAGTGATGCAGCAATTAGTACTGAATTGACCTGAGTATTTGATACTCTAGAAGGAATATAAAGCAGAACTAGAAATTTTAGAAATGAAAATGGGCATTCAGCAAAAGATAAATATGCCACCAGCATGACTGTTAGTTGCAAGTCATCGGTCATAACTCATAAGCATGTACCATCTATAACCTAGATAAAGCTATTCAAAGCTTTTATAAATAACTTGTGAAATTTCATAGATTCATAACAGTTATTTGTGCAAGAAAGCCCTGCCATATCATTCATTGTTGAGGGACATACAAAGCATTTCAGGAATGTTTCCATACTTCCATGAACCTATTTCTCCTAGAACAGTGTGGTTCTTATCTGAATATGGCAGCCTTCCAGCCGTTGAAAGGGTTGTTTAAAAGTGTTTGAATCAGCAAAAGAATGTTTCCCTTTTTACCAACCAGCAGGAAGAAACGAGCAAAGGGCCACCCAGTTGAAGATCAAGGAAAAGATGAATCCTAGAGACTGTTTGCTCATTTGGTCTGGGTCCACAGAGCATAACTTTTGTGCAATTGAAAGTTTTCTAGAAACTTCTGTTAAGTAAAAAAAATATGTAAGACTAAACCTTACAGCTATCTTTTCACACAACAAAATGACAGATTACAAGTATTCGTGCTACTGATGGCAATGAGACCATAATTTTAAATTTCTAATTATGATGTAAGGCACCATCATGACAAAGACATTCATAACATACTATTCATAGAGATGAATGTGAATGCACCATGAACAGATATAGGGAGAAGAACATTTAGAAACAACAAAAGACCTTTGTGATTCATATATGCTCTTAGCTGCCCAAATCACCAAATACCCCAACATTGTGATTCAAATTTGTTCTAAGCTGCCCAAATCACCAATACCTATTACACAGCATCAAGAACCACAATTGCCCCAATTGGGCACACTATATGCAATGCTAAAACAATAAGTGCAAACAGAAATTTATGAGTGCAACTGCATACTACATAAATACTATGATGCATAAAAGTAAGACAGACCTCAGAAAGTTTCAATCCACAGAATAATACACATTGATGCTGAGAAGCTTTCCCAATGACCAAAAGCCACCAAAAAAAGGACACACCTCCAATCAAAGTAAGGTGCACCTCCAAACTTTCTTGAGATGCAATGTTGGTGTCGAATATTCTTAGGATGGTGTGAGGACCTATTTTTATCTCTAATTATAAAATTTTAAACTACTAAAATGGTTCAAATCAAGCAGTTCTATAAACTCATGAAAATCATGAAAATCGGTGGTCCAGTTAATGTGTTACAAATCTTTTTCAAAGGATTTTAGAGGTGCACCTTAATTCTACATTTTAAGGAGTCAAACCTTATATAAACTTTTTCCATTGGATTAAATCCCAACAAGCCCTTCTTCCTAATTGTTCACCACTCAAGAAATTCCTTTCCTCTCTAAAAGCTGCACTCCCATTCCATTGCATCTTTTAGAAAAGTTTCATTGCCACAGTGGACCAATGAACAACACTACAGGAGAGGCCAGTTCTTTGGCATACCAAGGTTCTCATAAATCATATTTGCCACCACCATCTAAGCTAACAAATAATGCTTTGGACAAATAAGCATTAACTCATCATTCTTCCAGTATACGTCACAGTCATTTCCATATTTCCACCTTCATCAAGAACAGGAAACAAAAAGGCGAACCCTTTCCCATTTTTCTGTTGCTTTAACCAATGCCCAACTGTTGCAAGCTCAAGCAATCCTCCACTTTACTGAATAGTAAATACCAAGTGCAACAACCAACCTCTCCCCTCCCACCCCCACACACACACACAAAACCCCCACCCAAAAAAAAAGAAAGAACCCCCTCTTTCTCCCTTCATCGTGGAATCATTCCGCCCTTAACACACAACTCAATCGAGACAACATAGCCTTCCTACTGAAACTTTCAACAATCCCAAACCCCTGGACAAACACACCAATAGACAAGATATGATACCAACATACTCCTCTAGTGACTGAAGCCACTAGAGTGATTGATCTAATCATCCCAACAAAGATGGCATGCCATTCTAGAACTAAAAGAATCAATTCAGAATTAAAAAGACAAAAAATGAGTAAAAATACGTATATATAAGATAATGTGTCGGCTCACATGGACAATATTATTTTAGTATTGACAATCTAAATAATCATTATGAATAGATGGTGTAAGTACCCTAATTTTGTCAAAGGACATGAATTGTAGCCTCAATCTTGGTTTATAATACCGGCACCAGCCATAATCAGTTGATATGCAAAGTTTTCCAGACTCAAAATAATTGAACTAAAAAATAAACTACATATGGCATCAAAGAATAGGTACAACCATTGAGAAACAACTAAAATTCCATGTCAAAGAAGTAAAGACACCTAGAGTTAAATCCACAAAAATACTCTTCAGTACAATATCAACCAAAAAATAATAGGAATATACAGTTCACCTGGCTCAGCTTATTTAATTGATCTGCATCCTTTTCACCCAAAAGTGTAGGCGCTTGACTGTAAAATGACTTAAACAAGTAAAATTGTTAATTCTCGTTGCTAAATTATTGAGTTCATTGACAACAAAAGCATTATTAACTAGAGCTACAGACAACCCATAAGCAAAAACCTTCCTTAAAAACTTGCTTTGGCTAAAAACTGACCACTCAGTATGCCTCAGCCCACAAACGAGAATCACAAATCATGGAAAAGACTATCAAGTTAACATAGAATTGTATGAAAAGATAAGTGGGGATGCAAACCTTTCATAGAACTCAAAACCACCGTCAATGACATCATCAACACTATTGAGGATTTCATTCACAAATAGTTGTGGGTTTACATTAAGAGAACTGAAAATTGCGTCACATTCACCTTCCTCCATTACTGCAAATCAAGGACCATGACTGATTATAATATACAACAAAATGACAAGGAGGAATAAATATATTTATTCCATCGAGCAGTGTTGATTATAAGGTAGTCAGTTCTTCGACATGCCATGAAACAAATATCATCCATTTCATTCCATGGCTTCACTTCAAATTCCCATCATTCATCAAGCATAATTCCCTGTTTATGCAGTTATTTATGCATTTAGAAGAGAAATATAGATACTTTAACTATAATCTTCCGTGCTGATCAGATATGGCCCAATTTTTACATTCCAATAGGAGAAAAAACAGCATATATATTGAGAAGATAAAGTATCCTTCTAAAACCTATTGTGATTCAAGTCAATGTCATCTAGAATTTTGCAAGACGATTTTTTTTTTTTTGATGCAGCCAACTAATATTAGATTGTGTGAAATACCCAAAACTAGCTCACTAGCAATCAAATGACCATAAGCAAGTTAATCTCCAAAATAAAGCATCAAATTTGATGTTTCAGACACTTGGTGGTCTTAACCTAGGTTTCAGAGGAACCACCAGAAAATCGAGCAATAAGTCATCTAATTCATCACCAACTCGTAACAGGAGGCGTTCCCATAGTAACAGAATAAAGGCCCTCAACTACATAGACCAAAAACCCCAGAAACAAACAAAGCCACCGCTTCTGCTTTGAGATCCCAGGAGTTCCATGAACAAATATAATTAATAATTTACATAGCGACACCTATACATACAATAAGCAAGAACCAGTGGAAAGTGCAAACTGGAATAAATTCAAGATAGACCTCAGACAACTTATACTGTGGGATTTAAATTTTGAAGGAAATATGTTTCATGCGGGCTGGACCGCATGACTACATACGCAATCCAAAAAGGGTGAAGCATTGATGCAAACGCAATCCAAAAAGGGTGAAGCATCCATCTTTAAGATGGATGCAAGTAGGTGTTCCATCTAAAAACAATGGAAACTGACGGGCTAAATGTTTACTTACTAGAATTATTATTTCTAATTTTTAAAATTTATTTATTTTTTCATATTCTTGATCTCCGCGTTAGAGATTACATATCCCTACAAATTAAGTCCAAAAATCCATCTCAAAAATAATAGGCCTGCATTTCTACACATGCGGGCTTGGCCTTATAGAAACCGGGTCCAATTTTGAATACACGGAAGATTCACTCTAATTTCTAGAAGACAAGAACAGGGCATGAAGAATCGGTCACCCACACAATCATCGCAGGCATTGATTTCATAGCATGGATCATAACAATACAAATGGGCATAACTGAAAAAATGATGGAAATTGATGACACAAATGATAATTAATCGAATAACCAGTTAATTTGAATATGGAAATCCGTAAAAAGGACGAAAAAGAAACAGAGATAATAAGATAATAAGAGAGAGAATCAGTGAAATTGTTGCTACTCTCTAATGGGGACCAGTCTACGAAAGATGAAGGAATCCAAGGCCATGGCACTCTAACCGCGATGACACACACACACAGAGTTATACCTAAGCCAGCGTTTATTCGAGCTTCAAGAGAGGAGGGATCTTACCAGAGATAAACGTTGCCGAAATTTCCTTTGCCGCAGAGAGAGAGAGAAAGAGTCGCCTCCTGTAGCAAGCGGGTTTGGAACTCAAAGGCGGGAAACAGGTAGGGACAAAAAAATTAAGAGAAATTTATTGGTTATTACTTATAACTTATATAAGTGTATTTATAGTTGGTAAAGGTTTTTGGTGAATTTTTTTTCCATCTTTTATTATTGGGTGCGGTTTGTATAGAGCCGAGGCTCTAAACAATCAAATTAGGGCCTATCTTCAAATGGTGTCAAGAAATACGGTTTCAATATTGGAAATCTTTGTGATAGCCTTAAAATATAGTTTCATATTTATTTTTAAAGTTCAAAGCTTCAAAAATAGTGTAAATCAACATATCTATGAAAATTTTAAAATCTTAAAAATTGACGGTCAAAAAATGCCCTATAAAATACAATATTTCCAAAACTTGCAATCTATTTTTTTTCTCATGTACATGTATCTTGATGTCGAGATAATAAATTTGAAGATATTTGGGCATCAAAACAACCTCTTCCTGTAAAATTTTCGAGATAGTCTCAAATTTGATTGTTTAAAGCCTCGGCTCTATAAAAACTTTTCCTTTTATTATTTAGGCATTGATATGAGTTGATGTAAGTTTAGCCTCTTTTTCATTCGATTTGCCTTTGTTAGGTGTGGATCGTTGATTGGGAACTCTATATTTGGTGATAATTTATAAAAAGAAAAGCTGGTCCAGGTCTTATATAAAATTCGCTTAATCCAAAAGAACCAGTTGTAGATAATTTGATAAATAATGGTCCAAAAATAAACGTAAATGATCAGTTTTATGAACAAAAGCCAATTTTTTTGTCAAGTATATGATTGAGAAAATCCTTCCATTTTACTAGACGATAGATGTACAACGTGCTCCATCGGAGTACACTATTAGCACTCTATACAATGAGATCATTCACCGTTAGTACTACAACGAGGTCATAAATATTGACTTTCCAATGTCAAACCTGATAGCTTAAGTGGTAAAGTTTGAAAAAAAAAAATTTTAAATTTTGACTTTCATCGATAAAATAAAAGCAAATATTTGATTTCAAATTCAAGAGTCAAGATAAATAATTGTGATTATATTGTATCAAAGATAAATAATGACATTATATATTTATCCTTTGCAATATCCTCTTTGTAATACTCCCGCACCAAAAAGTTCAGTCCCACTCCTCTTTTTCTTTTCTCTTTTTGTTTTTCTTTTTTCTTTTTTTCTTTTTTCTTTTTCTTTTCTACTTCGTTAGTTAAAGTTTTTTTTTTCTTTTTTCTTTTTTCACTCGGTTAAAAGTTAATTCCCACCAACGAGATATTGCGTTCCGGATATGTAAAGGAAAATTTTTGGTGGTCCTTCGGGACCAGCACAAGGTGGAAATGAGATGGATAAAAATCTTAGGAAAATTTACACTAATATCTTCTATTTTTCTGGAATTAAAAAACTCTCTCATATTTTGTACTTTATGTTCATCGTCCCTAATTTCTGAATTTTTTATTTTTAAATGTCATTAATTTTGAGTTTTAAAATTCCAAACCCAAAATTCAAATAAATCAGATAAGATTTTCAAAATCTGAACCAGTTGGTTCATAAAACACAATATTTTTGGGTTGGATTTTGAAAGTATGAATCATGGCATTCTAAGAAGAAAAATATATATATATATATAAGAAAATCAAAATTTATGGACAGGAGGTAAATTATGATATAAGTATTTAATACATAAAAAAGATTTTGGTTATTAGTATAAACTTCCCAAAATCTTAAGGCAAGTGTGATTTAATAAACACATTACGTCAACATCCATCTTAAATATGATGCAAACAGGTGGTCCCTCCAAATAAAGTTAAAACCAAAGGTCTAAATATTTTATTCATTAAATTAGAATTTTCAGTTTAAAAAATAATTGAATTATAATTTTTAGTTTAATAATTTATTATTTTTCAGATATTCAAGATCTCCATGTTAGATACTACATATTTTTTACAAACTAGGTCTAAAATCTATCTCAGAAATAAATTTTTAAGAGGGGATTAAAAACGAGGAAATTTTTTTGTCTCAACATGTCAACTTGGAAATTAGTTAAAACGGAAAAGTTTAAATAGAGCCGAGGCTCTAAATCATCAAATTAGAGGCTATCCTAAAACTTTCACTAGAAGAGATTGTTTTGATGCTCAAGTATCTTTAAATTAATCATCTCGACATCAAGATGCATCGACATGAGAAAAAAACGAATTTCCAAATTTTAAAATAGTATATTTTGTAATGCATTTTTAAACCGTCAATTTTCAAGTTTTTCATATATATATATATATATATATATATCGGCCTCCACTATTTTTGAAGCTTTAATCTTTATAAATACCGATGAAAATATATTTTAATGCCATCACAAAGATTTCGAGCGTTGAAACCACATTTCTTGATACTATTTGAAGGTAGGCTTTAATTTGAATGTTTAGAGCCTAGGCTCTATACAAATCGCACCCTTAGTTAAATATTCATCGTGTTTTTAATGTATGACTTTAAACATAATTCAAGAAGATTAGGTTTTTTTTTTAAAACTCCGTGGTCCATACCACCTAATTCTCGAGGGCGGGAATTTTTTAGTGTAAACCATTGTTCGTAAAATCATCCGATCTAACAGCTAACCGCCGGGTTCGATGGGAATCGGTCACTGGCTGGTTTTGCTTTTGGGCAGTTAGGGTGATCAACTGGTATTAAAAAAAAAAATTTCAAAAAAATGTATATAAATTCTCAAAAATAAGAAATTTGATTTGTAATGCATTTTTAAATATTCTTTACATTATGGTAAATATTAAAATTTGTTTTGGTCATTAATACTCATTTTTATATTTTTTCATCTTCTTTAGAAAATTTAAAAATAGCCATTGAAAAATATAAAATGGGTTAAAATCCATTTTTTCATTAATTTTCAACTTTATTTGAATGTGTTTTGTTTTAATAATTATTTATATATTTTTAATAATTTATTAGATTTTTTAGATTTTTTTTATTTTTTAACATTTTTTTTATCGCTCGAGACTTGCCCGGTTAGAGCAGTTGAATGGGCCAGTTTACCGGTTAGATCGGTTAAACCGCTTTCCAAATCTATGTCCGGTCAACCATTCTAGTTCGATTTTGCAAACACTGTCTCAACTCTCTACATGTCAACTTGTTTGGAAATTAGTTAATTGAAAAGTATATCTACTCCTCTGAAAATAGAATGTGTATCTACTCCCTTGGGTAAAATCTCATTTAGAATTAATTTTAAGAACCCGGATTTTGGAAATATATATGCACTTGAAAAAATGGAGACTATCTACTTTTTAGATAGTGAGATCCAAGTGTTAGAAAACTCTCATCAATTTTTTTAAGAATAATCATCTATTAATTTAAAGTAATTCTCAAATTTTAATATTTTTTTAAAAAAAGATTATTTACAAAGAGACTATTTATGATTTATCTTTTGTATATGAAAGTCACAAGCATTCTCACTTATTAGATGTTATGTTAGATGTCTTAAAGTGTGTCTATTCAGTGACACACTTACAACTGCCCATTTTAAAATTTAAGGAGCGGCTTCCATGTACAAAAGATGAATCGATGACAATCCAAAAAAAAATTATCCATTTTCTAACCGAATGAGTAGAAATATACATGCCCAAGTAGGGATAAAGTTTATTTAGAGCAGAGGCTCTAAATGATGAAATTAAAGCCCACTTCAAAAATTTCACTAGAAGATGTTGTTTTGATGCCCAAATATCCTCAAAATTTTGGACCGTTTGAGATTTTCAGGTTTTTATAGATCTACTCAATCGACACTATTTTTCAAGCTTTAAGTTTTATGATTAAAGATGATAATATATTTTAAAGCTATGGTAAAAAAATCCGATATTGAAACCACATTTCTAAACATTATTTGAAGGTGCACTCTACTTTAATTGTTTAGAGCCTCGGCTCTATACAAATATTGACAGCACGGTACTTTCTGCTAGCCTTATCTGGTATTGTGGGCTTGTATGCAGCAGAGTAAGAGTGACACTCCACCTTCTCTCTCTCTTCCAAGTTCTCTATCTCTCTCATTCTCTGTTCTGTTGGGTTTGTGTGGCCCTTTAAATGTCTTATGAGTGCTTGTAAAATGAAATGATATAGTGGAACATGAACTTAGTGGGAGTGTGGTCCCATGTGGATTATACTAAGCAAACGATGGTTTGCTGATACCGATACGTGCTTAACGATCTAGGCCAGTCGGTTGGGAAAAACCCATGTTACCTGGACGTGAA